CATGCAGTTCATGGAACACTTCCCTGCATGGCTTCTCTTGAAATGTTTTGTTTACGTTCTTTCATCCCCTGTTTCATCTCTATAGGCAGCAGCTATTTCAGTCATTTCTGTAGCCTAATGCATCCTGTCTCTCTCTGTCTAGATGACTATAAATCAGAGCTAAGGGAGCAGTTGCCGCTGATTGCGGGCTCAGCCGCGGCTGGAGTGGTCTTCATTGTGTCTCTGGTGGCAATATCTATAGTCTGTAGCAGGTGAGTTGGCCATTATGGAGCCAGACGTATGACTGCTGCATGTGCTCTCAAGGATGAAAAGCCTCGGACTAGTTCAGACTAGCTGAATGTGTTCCTGGGTCATGCTTTTACTTAAAGTGAATGTGAAATGTCATATACCAAATCATCTGCAATGGAGCCATCTACAAATATGTATCGATAATTTGGTCAGTGATACAAACAGAAGCATTGACAAATCAGATATTTAATCTAAATGTGTAACATGTTATGAATTATATACTCTACTATTCAAAAGTAGGAGGTCTGTAAGAGAGTAGAACAGTAATATTGTGAAATATTACAGTATAGTTTATTTTATGATAGTAAAGCTGAATTTTCAGCATAATTACTTCAGTGTCACATGATCCTTCATAAATATAAAAATATAAATTCTAATATGCCGAGTTGTTGCTCATGAAACATTTCTACATTTTATCAAGGTTGAAAACAGTTATACAGCTTCATTTTTTTGTGGAGACTGCAATACATATTTTCAAGATTCTTTGATGAATATAAAGTTCAAAAGAATAGTATTTCTTTGAAATAGAAATCTTTTGTAACATTATAAATGTCTTCACTGACCATATTGATCATTTTAATACATCCTTGCTAAATAAAATCAAACCTAATCTACATTTTTTCAAAAGTTAGTGTGTGCGTGTGTGTACCATTAATGAATTTGAATGATTTTGACCATTAAAACCACTTATCTGTTGTTATTAGAATTCTTTTTCCTCCTGTTATGTGGATAGTGATGAAATCTCCCGCTGGGGAACACTGACCCCTAGTGGGATAAAGACAGCAATGGATGCAGTTACGCACTGATATAGTAATATTATCAAGCTCTTCCAAACTGTGGACGAAAGAAAAAGTGTCAAGTGTCATATACAGAAATGCTTATAGTTGTGACTGGAATTTGCAAATGTTGTTTTAATGTTTTGCTGGATCATCACTAAAAACATTCTGGGACTAAATTGTATCATCCAAGCCCAATGGATCAGCTTTACCATATAGAAACATAGTCTACAAAAAGTGAACAGTTACAAAATTTGTTCTAAAGACTGGTCAAAAATGATGAATCATGAGGGGGAAAAATAATAATTTTGGAATGATTTATATATTGTGAAAAGCACTATACAGTTTAAATTTAAATAAATTTGTTTTTTCAGGTTTATGCATCAAACATTAGTTTGAAAGCAGATCGAAAAACGCACTGTAAGCTTACTAGAAAGCAAATATTTTACAAGTATTAATTTAATCACTTATTTTGTCTTGAGTACAATGTAAAATATAAAACACAATTATTTAATTACTGTCACTTTTGATCAATTTAATGCATCCTGGCTGAATAAAAGAATAAAAAATACTTATTGACCCCGAACTTTTGAACAGTACTATTTTTATATATTTAATATTAAACATTTTAGTACATATTAATCATAAAATAGTACACATTTTAATTATATATTGATTAAATCTAAGTGTATTTACTTTTCTAGCATTTTATTACCATTGTAAACATTTAATATTGAACACCATAGAACATATTAGCTTTTTTTTTTTTTTTTTTTTTTTTTGGGGATTTTT